TTTACATTTGTGGTTTGTTTGTTTTGGTGTATTTTTGTTTTGTTTTGTTTCCTGCTAGAAAAAAAAAAACAAACAAAAACCCAAAACTTCCCTAGGATATCATGGTATTTTTTTGCAGAAATTATGGTATTAAGCACATAGAGCTTGTGGAGAAATAAATAAAGATTTAGGCTGAGAGTCAACAAACCATCTATTTAGGTTTATCTTAGAGGCAAAAATAAATATAAGGTAGGCACAGAAGTGACTAAGAAACTATTTGTCATTATGATTTGATCTTTTTAACCTTCCATTATGAAAAGAGAAAAAACTAGTGCTAAGTGTGTTATTTTCACACCAAATTTGACATAAAGAACTGTATAAGAACTGACATCTAAGCAGAAGATAAACTGCAATTCTTGAAAATAAATAAAATGTTCTCCAACAGTGACAAATCAGCAACAGAGAGCAAGAGGCAAAATGCATGAGAGGTGGGAATTTGGAGGACCCAGTGTAGTCTCAGTGCTGTGGGAGCAAGATGAATGTGCATGAAGCCTAATTATCTTAGAGTGAAAGGTCATCAAAATCAATTTGCAGCATGATGTACAAAGGTCATTATCAGACTCTAATTCTCTGTGCCCATTTAAAACACAATAAAAAATAGAGTGGTTTCTTTAATAACTGTGATTATTAAAGAAAAAAAGACATATCACTGAGCTATCTATTTAAACATTTGTGTTACCTTAGTTTTTATTCAAAACATTTGAAAGAATGAGAGCTGATTTTTCAGAAGGCTGTGCTTCTGAAAATGTCTCAATTCATTTTCAGGATTTATAATGATGTAATTGAAAGCTCATCTCTAAAATTAAAATCCTTTACAACCAATATTGTTATATATATATAATATATATATATATTATATATATATATATAATTATATATATTATATATATATATATATTATATTGGTAAAATAACAATAATATATATATTATATTTTATATATATATAATATATATATAATATGTAATAATATATATTATATATTTTACCAATTCATTATCATTTTTATTTTCAGCTTATGGAAGGAGATAGGCTAAAATTCATTTCCTTACCTAAAGTTAAATTGTTTACTCAGGGGTGCATATTGTCTGTTATGTCTTGCTCTATAACAGCTCAGTGTTAAAATGATCCTTGTGTAAGAAAACAAAGATTTGTACAATCAATAGAGAAAAGAGGTACTTCATGACAGATACACCTAAACCTATACCCAGATTACCTACAATGATTCTGAATGTAAACACAATGTATAGTACAATAGAAAATGACCAGATCTGTCAGAAGAGAATGGTTACAAGACAGCTTTCTTGAAACGTTTTTTTTTTGTTTGTTTGTTTGTTTGTTTGTTTTGTTTGTTTGTTTTTTGTTTTGTTTTGTTTTGTTTTTTGTTTTGTTTTTTTGTCAATTAGGACATCAGGAGTAAGGAGTCCAAACACGGAGCTGTCATCCAAAAGAGACTAGTTGCTAGTCTCAGCATGGTCACTCAAAAGGTTAATAAAGTTCTGAAAATTGTACATTAATTCCATTTTGTGCTTTCTTCCCCGTTTCTCTAAAATGTGAAAGTTTTCCCAATCCCCATAAAGAAAAGACATTGGAAGTAGATGAAGGATGTAGTTAGATATGGTGTGAGGAGTGACCAAATTTTCATCTCTTTCTCCAACATGTTTTGAAGGACATTAGAAGTCTATGTAGGAGGGAAAAATAAAAAATAAATTCTCTGTCCACAGAGGCAGCAAGCCTGCAAGTGACCGATACTTTTACAATGTCCCCCATGATTTCCTTGTCTCATATTGGAGAGTTGGAGTTGACAGATGGACCACTTGGTGGGTAAGGAATTAGCTGTATGGCTGAACTCAAAGAGTTGTGGTCAATGGCTCAATATCCAAGCAGAGATCAGTAATAAATGGGGGTCCTCAGGAGTCAATACTGGGACTGGAGCTGTTTAATATCTCTGTAGGTGACATGGACAGTGGGACTGAGCGCACCCTCAGCAAGTTTGCTGATGACAACAAGCTGTGTGGTGTGGTCAACATGCTGGAGGGAAAGGATGTAATCCAGAGGGACCTGGACAAGCTTGAGAGGTGGACCCATGTGAACTTCATGAGGCACAACAAGGCCAAGTTCAAGGTCCTTCATCTGGACTGAGGCAATTCTAAACACAAATCCAGGCTGGGCAGAGAATGGATTGAGATCAACCCTGATGGAAATAACCTAGGTATGTTGGTTGTTGAGAAGCTCTACATAAGCGTGTAATATGTTCTTTCAGCCCAGAAAGCCAACTGTATACTGAGCTGCATCAAAAAAAAGCATGTCCATCAGGGCAAGGGAGGTGATCCCCCTTTGCTCTTGTGAGACCCACCTTGCACCTGTGCATTTATCTCTGGGACCTCCAGCAGAAGAAGGACATGAAAGTGTTAGAAAAAGTCCAGAGGAAGTCCAGAGGAGGGCCACAAAGATGATCAGAGGGCTAGAGCACCTCTCCTATGAAGACAGGCTGAGGTAGTTGGAGTTGTTCAGCCTGGAAAAGAGAAGGCTCTGGGAAGACCTTACAGTGGCCTTCCAGTATCTAAGAGGCCTACAGGAAAGCTGAGAAGGGATTCTGTGTCAGGAAATGTAGTTATAGAACAAGGAGGAATAGCTTTAAACTAAAAGTAGGTAGATTTAGATTAGATATATGGAAGAAATTCTTCACTCTAAGGGAGGCGAGGCATTAGAACAGGTTGCATAGAGAAGCTGTGGATGCCCCATCCTTGAAAGTGTTCATGACCAGGCTGGATGGGGCTTTGGGAAACCTGGCCTAGTGGAAGGTGTCCTTGCCCAAGGCACAGGAGTTTGAACTAGAAGATCCCTTGCAACCCAAACTATGCTATGATTCTGTGATTCTATAAGTGATTCCCTGCTTGCTGACCTCCTCATGCAAGCTGCAAAGCATCTGTAAGACCACAAGCAAAGACTCACAACCACTTCTGATTTGGGGAGCATTGTAGACATGACCTCTGCTTTCTTGATACCATGTGTGTATCTGTAGATGAAGCAATGAAAGTGAAATAGATTCTGAGATGAAGGTTTTCCAGAAATATCATCTTTTCTTCCTTCTCATATAATGTGCAGCCTCTGAAACTCTAATGTTGTTCAATTAACACTAATATGCTAATAAGTGTAGTAAACACACTTTTTAAATCTGAAACAAAAGAATCTCTTTCAACATGTATTTTCTTCTTATGATCTTTGCTCTTATAGCAGTTCAATCAATAGTTTGTTTTTTCAGTATTTAACTGAAAACATGATGCCTTCATAAAGACGCCACAGTCATTTCATTATTAACATGTCTTTTTTCTACAAATCAGAAAGGTCATTTCTGTTCTTTTAAAGACTTTTTTTTTTTTTTTTTTTTTTTTTTTTTTTTTTTTTTTTGTGAATAGGGTGACTGCAATATATACTGCAGGATACTTCTCTTTGTGCCAGTCATGGAAATCTTCCTGCAAAGGAAATGAGATTCAGTGTTTTTATTGGGAAGATAAAAATACTCAGTTTTTATTTTACAATTTGCTAATAATGAAGCAGTCTGAGAGGATGAATGTACTTGGAATAATAATAAAGGGCAGGGCAGATGCTGAAAGATATTTTTCATGTTTCTTCTGCTAATTGATGTTTGTTTCTTATGTCCTTTGTGTGCACTTCCTGAATTAGTGTAACATTCTCTGAGGATAAGTCAAACTAATTTTCCCCTCCTGACAGCTGCATCCTTGATGATACGCAAGGAATGGTTTCAGCCTTAAAATTTGGCACCCATGAAAACCATGCAGTGGACTCAATGGATTCCAAGGTTTTTAGAAGAGATTGACTGCTCTGCTGCTGCACCCAAAACTAGCCATGCTGGGCTGCAGCTGGGGGTTATACTAAGCCTGCCCTTCCTCACCCACAAGTGCTATGTTGGATCTAAGTAACATCAGTGTAATTACAGCCCAGCACCCACCCTTAGCTGGCTTGCAGCAAGTGTGCATACTTCAGGGAGGCAGCAGTGAAACCACTGCCATGGGCTCTAGTTAGAGTCTCGGTGACAAACAGGCTACCAGGCTGGAGAAAAGAGTTGGTGGAGTGAATTTAAAGAGAGCAAGTAAGGCCAGATCTCAGCCCCTATGAGCCATAAAAGGCAGTCTTCATGTTGACTGAAGAGGATTAGAAACCAAAATATCAACAGCAATTTTTGTATCACATGGGTTTTCTTTACAGGTGTTAATAATACATGTTATTAATGAGTTACCATACTGTATGTCTTGAGTTTCATTACAGGTACTAGCAGTGTATCTAATGTCATTTCTTGCACAGATCAATCAGAATTTTACACTGAATTTAAACTTTATTTCACTTCAGCTCTTAAAAAAAAATGCTATTACTCATAAATTTTGACTACTCTGATTACAAACGCATAAGTGGATAATGGCCTAACTTCAGTGCTCCATCAATGTAACAAGTAGTCCCTCTACAGCTAGCTCCTACAGCAGCTGCTGTTACACAGGTCTAAATCCTATTGACTGATCTATGCCCACCTCCTGCAGAGCAACCTTTCAAAATAGTCTTTGGAAAAGATGACTTCCATGTATAAGCCTGGAGCTTTTCTTGCCAAAGTCAGGCTCTACACATGTAGTTTGGTTGCAAACAGGCTGCTTACTCACTTGTCTTACACTGTTCATCAGGCCCTACTTCCTCATGTTGTGTGAATTTCTTTATTAGTAGTGTGCTTGATCCTGTAATAGAGTTCCAAAAAGCTATTGTGTGTCTGTGTATGTGCACTCCTATATTCTTCCTTTCTACTCTATCTTGACATCGAGTACTTTGACACCAGGGAAAAAATGCTTTACATTCAAACATTATACTATGTTCTTCATGAATAAAATATGATTTTGGTTAGCCCAGCAACACATAAAATTCAGCAAATTTATTTATTTATTTATTCTACTCACCTTGTATCAATGGTATTTTCTTCTGGATTTACAATCTCAATATCAGTCAACCTGCAGGGAACTTGACCTTACCCATGTTTCACTGCCAATATTCCTCTTCATGCTGTAATCATACAAATATGCTATAAGTAATTAAATATTGCTTCAGCAAAATTATAGTCTCAAGAGGATGTGCTTGTAAATACACATTTCATTTCAACCTCTTTAAATATTAAAGTAGAGTAGAAAAGTAATATCAGGTATTCCATTGTGCTAAAATGGAATCAAGATGCATGATTGCAGCTCCACAGATGAGTCACAAGATCAAAAAATATATTTGATGAATAGGTGTAACCTTCCATGGCAAAAGTGAAGGTTTAAAATTACTTTAATTAAACTATCTGGGTGTGGAAGTTACTTATATGAATTCACTCATTGCGTGGATTTTAATTATTTTTTTTTTTTTAATATTTTTTTTTCTGGCACCTGTTTCTCTGTAAGGAAAGATCTATAAGGTGCTAGGATCTTTTTATATGTTATTGAACAGTCTCTGGATTTGTGGGGAGTTTTCATTTCCATGATGGGCAGGTGTCATGGGGTAAGGATTAAAGACCAAAAGGTATCATTAATTTGCAGTTGAAATTACATGAAATACAAATAGTTCTTTAAAAGCCCATGTCCAGCTCATTGAGGTGACACAGTGAAACACTTAAAAGCAAGAAATGACAATGTTCAATGAAATTACAATAGTCAGCATTTGGTCAACTTTAATTTGCCACCACAGGGTTACTAACATAGGAATTCAGTCATTAATGAAAATGAGAAATTTCTTAGTATATGGTATAATAATATTTAGGTTTATGGTATAATAATATTTTGTTCACCTGAAATAGTCTAGTCTCTCTAACTTTGTTCTTTTCATTTGTCTTCAGTTTTAAAGTTTTCCCTCTCTCGAAGAATTTTGCAACTAATGAAGTTGCTTTTTACCAGTTCTTGTTAATGTTGTATTTCTTTCCTCCTTATTTGTTAACCAGAAGCTCTATGTTTTTCTTGCCTCTGATACACAGTTTGATTCTGCATAAGGTTTCTGATCTGTTCAGAGGAAAAAAAAAAGAAAAAAAAAAAGAGAGAGAGAGAGAAAGAAACAGGAAAAAAAAATCTATTAATATTATACCAAAATTTTATATTTGTCATCCTGTTTGTAGAGAAATTAAGATTACTGGTGTCCTTGCCAAATAAGTACTTACATGATGGCTAATATAAGTGTCTTGCTGCCTTTCAGCTAAGGTCACCTTGTTTCCTCCTGTATCCTGTTTTCTGGTCCATTTGAAGCTTCATATCAATTGTTGACATGGAGTCTGTTGATGAACATGCCCTAAGAGGACCATAAACCAATTTGTGGAGCAAATAAGAAGGTTATGAAAGCAATGACATACCCAGTGATTTTCCACTCCCTGTCTTGTGTATGTATCTTAATTTCCAGATAGCTGGATCAGAAAATGAAAAGAGCTAATAGCCTTCTTGTTCTTTGTGTTCCCCTCCCCCTTTCTGTTAGGTTTCAGTGGACTAGTTCAATAAAAGGAAAAAAGAATACTATTCACTAGAAAACAGTTATTTAGGTACAATAATTTGTACTTTATGTCATATTATAATGGTGAGTGTAAATTTTCCTTTGAACCATGTTTTATTAACATTTTTTTCCACAGAGTTACATCAAAAGACTCTATAAATAAGTGATGTGCTCAGACTGCCAGCTCTTACATGCATACCAATTACCTCTATTGGTTTCAGGACACGTAGTCAGTACTTTAAACAACCCAGATAATATTGCAAACTGAAATATTCAACATCTCCATCTTGGTATGCTGTCACCATGCAGAGAATGATTATAATTGGTAATCAGTTTCACTGCTGGTAAGTTGAGTGGCATGATGCATTTTATATCCATGCTTATGTCAAACTCAATTAACATTCTAACACAGTGTTTTTCAAAGACACAGACCTAATCTGAGCAAAAAACACTCTATTTATTTATTTATTTATTTGTTTATTTATTTATTTGTTTGTTTGTTTGTTTATAATGTTTAAAAATCACAATTCTGTGAAGAGAATAATATGAATTATGGTATAAATACCATAGCATTTCCTGTTTTAGCTTGCCAGAGAAAAAGGGGAAAAACATATATCTTCAATCCCAAATTTCTGTCTTAATTGGGGCATGACAATGACACGAGAAACTGCGGCAAAATAAGAAATACAAAGAAGTCAAGATTTTTCTTTGTTATTACACACTGCTGTATAAAGGTATCATATGCATACTGTGAACTGAAAAGAGGCTTAATTTTTTTGTTTGTTTTTTAACAAACTGTACTGAACACTGACTTATTTAATAGTTATCCCAGTGTTTTGTCAAATTCCACATAAATGGATGAGAAAACAAAATCATAAAGAGAAATCTAATATATGAAACCTTATTAGGAGAAATTATGAACCTGAATAGGGAAGATAACTGCAGCTTTGTGGACTTCATCAGTAATTGTATCACCCCCACTCCCCTCTGATAGCCAAGGTATTTCTCCTATAATCCTCAACTTCACTTTGTTACAATTCAGCAGACTTTATAGCACAGAACAGAAGAAAGAAAATAGATGAAACATCTTAAAAACAATCCTGAGTGATAAACTTTACACATCTTGTCTAGGGTAGTCCTGTTCCATCCACACTTCCTTTGTTGCATTATCACTCTGCTGGTCACAACTGTGATCTGTCTGTCCTGATGGAACTGACAGCGTTCTCTTTATGTTTTCTCCAGATAGGCTCTTTTCTATGTTAGAGCTACATGGCCTTTTCTTTAATTCTCACATAGGTGAGCCATTGAGTGACCCATATGCTGAAGTGATATACAGACTCACAAAAACAGTTGAGGTTGAAGGGACTTTTTGAGGTCGTAAATTTCGACCCCCTTCCTCAAGCAGAAAGCAGTTTTTCCAAGACCATGTTCAGATGCCTTTTTAATATCTCCAAAGAAATTGTCAGAAGGAGAAATACCTAATCAAGCTGTTGATTTGCTCCTCTTTCTTTCTGCAGGTTTGTTGGTGTTTGTGCTTTGTTTTGTTTTGTTCTTTTTTGTTGGGGGTGGGAGGAGGAGGAGGAAGAGGGCAAGGAAAGGGAGTGAAGGTGTTAGAAAATACGAAAACATAACTGCTTTGCTAAAAGGAAGATCCATTGGCAAATGAAACAAAAATATGATAACCTTCATTTAATTCTTTTGAAATAGTAGCACAACTACTATTTCAGTAGCACAACTTTTTTGAAATTGAAATTTTGAAATTTGTGCTACTATTTTGAAATAGTAGCACAACTACTATTTCAAAATAGGAGGCAGGTGAGGTTTCTTGAAATTTCAAGCTGGAGGCAGGTGAGGTTTGTTGAAATTGAAATAAATGTAGTTATATTTTGCTAGAAGTATTTTAATATCTCACGCATGCAAAACTTTCCTGTCAATCTCAAAGGGAAAAACTGTCTGACAGTACTAACTAGAAGCCTCTCTAATGAATATTATCAGAATAAAAATCCAGCTTGTGGAACAATCAAAAAAATCCTTAGTAGCTTTTAGTGGCAGACTCAGACCATGTTATCCCAACTGATCTTTTTCATCTTCAAAACATGAAAAAAAAAAAAAATGTCAGTGATGTAAATGACCTGAGTAAATGGTTGTAGATGGTTGTAAATGACCATAAGTTGTATGAATAGGCCCTTATGAAGTAGAATGTAGTGGAATGTAGTTTGAGCAGAGTCCTCAAACCTGACTATTCCTGCCCTTTGGTCCTCCAAAACTGAGAGAAGTAATTCAATGTGTTCTAATGAAACCTGACCAAAGACTGGCATGACGAGTTCTGTGTCATGATGTCAGGTCCACTGTAAATTTTTATGTACCGTTGACCTGAAATTTGGAAATGACACTCACTGTTCTCCCTGGAAGAAATGGAAACATGTTTTGTTGTTCCATATCATCAGGAAGGATGGAGCAGAATGTCCAAATTTTATATCTTTACTTCTTGAGAACAAAACCTTATTCTTACTTTTTGGTAAGACAGACAATTTTTCCATCACTCTCTCCCTGTCCTCATATCTTGTCTTTAAGGTTGTGTTCTTTTATTTAGTTATACTAATACTCGTGGGGTGGTGCAAACCTTTGCTGAACACATTGTAGAATATTATTCTTATGGTGATATACTCTTGGCTCTCCTGTTCTTGTCCATTGAAACCTAAATAACACCTAGTTGCTACCTGATGAATTCAGCTGATTAATTCTGTATTTATTGGAAGTTATTGTTGGAAGTTATTGATACAAAGATATTTCATTAGTCTCTGAATACCAGTCTTGTATGCAATTTTGACATATTGATTTTTCTTACACTATTTTTTTGATAATGATTCCTTTGAGAGTATCAGCTTTTGGTAACAGGATAGAAAATGGGTATCTAAGTCAATTGTTATTACTTTACCTTGATAGGTAAAGTAACTTACCTTGAAATTATTGAATTGACAATTGTTGAAATGACAATTTCAATGTGATTTTTTTTTTTTTTTGGCTTTTAAATGAAACATTCCATGATTATTTGCATTGAAACATTTTTATAAAGAGGCTTTAATATGTTTTTCTATATTCAAAATATATTTTACATGAGCAGCCTGACAGCAAATCTTTGGAATAGTGTTTGTACCATATTCTTGTAAAGAAATTTTCTCACTTGGTTCTTCCTGAGAGGGTCTTATAACCCCACTGTCACATCTGACCACACTATTTCCCTGAAAAGCAATGTCTTCAATATGCCAAGAACATTTATGTAAGCAGTGTCATTTACACAGACTGAATTTCTATGTATCTGAAGACTAACATCCAAGAACACTGTACAGTATTTTGGTTATGAGGTTGATTAATGTAACGTTCTTAACAGTACTGCAAGCAGCATAGATCTGTTGCTTACAGCCATTTAGTATGTACAGTATATTTGCTCAGTGCAAAAGCTCCTGGGTTTTGAATATTGTCACACATTAAATTTAATTTAACAATTTTGAGGACTTTTTATTTTAATTTGTCAACTTCTGAGAACATCTGAACAGTTATTTCTCTCTCTTGATATGGCTTTTATCACAGTAGGAGCAGAATGCATGATGTGCATTGTTCTTCACTAGACTTTTATAATTTGGTCTGTACAAGTAATTAGTATTCATGTGGCATATTTAGTTTAACACAGGAAGCTGAATCTGATATACTATATGAAAACTATTTATTCTCTGAGCAACCTCATTAAAAGGCATGTTTGGAAACTAAATATGTGAAACAGTACATTGGAACCTGACAATATGATTATTGCTAAAATATTAATTAGGAAAATAGTAAAATCATAATAATGTATATTAAGACAATGCTGATGCTTGGACAGCACTTACTATTTAAAATGCCCAGCACTGCATTTTAGATTGCAGATACATGTATTTTTAATGATCACTGGGAATAATAATATGGAAGATTTGTCATTACCAGATATCCATTCCTTGAATTTTTTCTCCTTCTCCTTGCATTTCCCTTTTGACATAAAAATATGACAATTTGCATTAAATTCATATTTAATTCATAATTCTATGTTATGTCATATAATGACCTAAGTCTCCAAAAAGGACTACAAGAAATTTTAAAAGTACAACAGTGATTACAAAATAAATAAATAGCCAAAACATTTTGGTTATCATATAGTCCATAAGTTGAGCTTCTTTTTCAATAAAAGGCAAAATTTGTGGATCTGTGGCCTCCTCTATCAGCCTCATCTTTCATTTCCTTTTTGCTTTTATCATTGTCTGCATTCACAGAAAATGCAGGAAATAATAGTTCATGTTAAAACAGTGACAAAGACATCCTGCTAACATCTGTGTGTCTTTTACGCTGAAGTGATTTATTATGTCTGTGGCTATTTCGGACTTTCAAAATTACAAGAAATTATCTATTGTTGTACCCACATTTCAAAAAGGTGGACAAATATTTGCAAATACACAATGCACATGCTTGTTTAATAAGAATTTCTGGTAAAATAGAGTGTAAATTTCTAGAAAACATTTCAATCTGGAAAAAATTGTGAGACTAATTTGTACTTGTGTTTCAGAAGATATTTTTCACACAAGTATCCAGACAAATAATAGAACTAATCCCATACTATTTCTGTGATAAATCTTACTCTGATTATTTTCACACATTTAGAAACTGAGATCAAACTCTCAAAATAAGTGAATTGTGATTAACTTGAGAGGCAGGTGACTATTCAAAATTTCTGTGACATTTACCTGACAATATATTTGGAAAGTAGCACTTCACAGAACTTCCCTTAGTGGTGACAGACATTCTTACACATTAGTTATAACTTTTCCTACTGGTGATCCTTACTTTTTGCAATCTTCTCTTTGATACGTATTCTTCCTTACTTCCAACCATCCTTTTCTTTTTCCACTCCTCCCTTACAGTCCTTCATTCTCAGTTATGCCTCACATCTCTCTTCATGTTTTTTTTTCTTCAGTGATAGAAACAGCCCTGAAAAGAAAACCCATCCCAAGACCAAACTATGTCAGACAGGCACAGGTGGCCCCTGCTCAAGCACATGTAAGAAATGTGCCAGCAGCTGTTGGGGCTGAAAATGTTTTCTGGAAAAAATACAATAAGACAAAGGGTGACCCTGGGGGACACTGAGACCATGGGGTATCCTGTAACATGTGTGAACAAAGGGACCTGAGAGTGGGGATGGGAGAAGATAGGCATTCACCTCAGTATGTCTGTAAATGTTCTTGCCTATTTTTAACTCAACACCTGAACTGGCAGCCAGAAGTTGGTCTGGCAATATATAAAGTGAAATTCTCAGACTCAAGATGTCCCAAAGCTGAGTTCAGTGGCAGTGGTGA